CCTTAGGTATTTCTTACACGTTTGTACTGACCAGCACTCAAATAATTAAGCGGTATTTTCTGAAACTCTAGGGGTTCTCTCTCTGTACAGCTCATTTTCTCCAGTATTTTGTCCTGTAAATTCTAGTTGCCTGGATCTCTTCAGACTCTCAGCTCCATCTTCTTTAGGAAGTCCACTAAACTCTTCATACATATCCTGTCTCAGCACTGTGACCTGGAAACTTTCTTAAGAAAGTAAGCTGGGGACATTTTAGAGCTCACTGATTTCTTGACTCTCAGGGATCATTATCCTTTACTGCTTGACGAAAGTGTCTTACAAACTATTATTTCATACATTTTGGCCAACTTTGTATATTTTAGGTCAGAAGGTAAATTCATGTGCTATTACTTCATCTTGGTCAGAAGCAGAAGTTCTGAAAGTGATTTTTAATGGGATGAATATAAGTGTTTTAAAATTACCCAAACTATAGTGTATTCAAGCCCCTTTGAAAGTTTATTATTTATTTATTTATTTATTTTTTGAGATGGAGTTTTGCTCTTGTTACCCAGGCTGGAGTGCAATGGCATGATCTTGGCTCACCGCAACCTCCACCTCCTGGGTTCAGGCAATTCTCCTGCCTCAGCCTCCCGAGTAGCTGGGATTACAGGTGTGCGCCACCATGCCCAGGTAATTTTTTGTATTTTTAGTAGAGATGGGGTTTCACCATGTTGACCAGGATGGTCTCGATCTCTTGACCTCGTGATCCACCCGCCTCGGCCTCCCAAAGTGCTGGGATTACAGGCGTGAGCCACCGTGCCCGGCCCTGAAAGTTTATTTTATATTACCTGAAATGAAAAGTAATTAGGCTTTGAAGGTAGAAAGATCTAGGTTTAAATCTTGGAACTACCACTTAATAGATGTGTGACCTTGGGCAAAAAGTGTAATGTCCCTTAACCTCTGTCTAATTTTTGATAAAATGAGATTAAAAGAATTTACTTTAAACACAGGAGTTTCTATGCAGTATTTTTATTTATAGCAAAATATTGAAAATAGATAAGGAAATGATAGGATAAATCAGAATTAATCTATAAGTTGCATTTCCATGAAACACTTAAAAGTAATGAGATAGATCTATATGTATTCTTATGAAAAAAATTAATAACACAGTGTTAGGTGAATAAAATACTTTACAGAAAAATATGGTGTATGAACTGATTTGAACTTTAAAAAAACCTGTGTGTGTGTTTGTGTGTTTGTATGTGTAAGGAAAACACCATCTGGAAGTATATATGCAATTTTAAGTAAGTGAGGAAATAATTTGAATGATACCTTTCCAATTTTAAAAACAGATGTATTTAAACAATAATGGATGCATGCAAATTAATTTTCAAGACAAATGAATAATAATAAAAAACAAGGTTCAAGAGAGATAATAGATATGGCTGGCACAATTTATAGTGTCAATGCCTGAGAGCCAACAAGCATCAGGAACTCAAATGCAGAAGAAAGGTAGGCTTATTTTGTGCGCTGCAGCAAGAGGGAGCATGTACCAGAGAGAGCAGAGTTTTGGCTAAGAGAGAACTGAGAAGCCCTATTATAGAATTTAGGTTTATGCTGGGTGATTCCAAGAAGGATTTAGGGAGTGGATGCCTCCTAAATTCTGAGTTGAGTGTTAGCAAAAGAATTGGTGATTAGCTAACTTGGTAATTTATATCTAAGAGGAAGGAAGATTAAGGTAGGTAAAGAAGCAGTATTTACTTAGATTAGTTGGAAGAGCAGAGTTTTTAGCTATTTTTGTGTCTGTTCATATCTTTCACCCTCTTTTTGATGGGGGGTTGTTTGTTTTTTTCTTGTAAATTTGTTTAAGTTTTTTGTAGATTCTGGATGTTAGCCCTTTGCCAGATGGATGGATTGCAAAATTTTTCTGCCATTCTGTAGGTTGCTTGTTAATTCTGATAATAGTTTCTTTTGCTGTGCAGAAGCTCTTTAGTTTAATTAGATCCCATTTTTCTATTTTGGCTTTTGTTGCCATTGCTTTTGGTGTTTTAATCATGAAGTCTTTGACCATACCTATGTCCTGAGTGATATTGCCTAGGTTTTCTCCTAGGGTTTTTATGGTTTTAGGTCTCACGTTTAAGTCTTTAATCCATTTTGAGTTAATTTTTGTATAAGGCCTAAGAAAGGGGTCCAGTTTCAGTTTTCTGCATATGGCTAGCCAGTTTTCCCAACATCACTTATTAAATAGGGAATCCTTTCCCCATTGCTTGTTTTTGTTGAGTTTGTCAAAGATCAGATGGTTATAGATGTGTGGAGTTATTTCTGAGGTCTCTGTTCTGTTCCGTAGGTCTATATATCTGTTTTGGTGCCAGTACCATGCTGTTTTGATTACTGTAGCCTTGTAGTATAGTTTGAAGTCAGATAGTGTGATGCCTCTAACTTTGTTCTTTTTGCTTAGGATTATCTTGGCTATACTAGACTGGATAAAGAAAATGTGGAACATATACACCACAGAATACTATGCAGCTATAAAAAAGGATGAGTTCATGTCCTTTGTAGGGACATGAATGAAGCTAGAAACCATCATTCTCAGCAAACTAACACAGGAACAGAAAACAGAGAACTGCATGTTCTCATTCATAGGTGGGGGTTAAACAATGAAAGCACATGGACACAAGGAGGGGAACATCACACACCAGGGCCTGTGAGGGGTGGGGTCTAGAGGAGGGAGAGCATTAGGAGAACTACCTAATGTAGATGACTGGTTGATGGGTGCAGCAAAACACCATGGAACATGTATACCTATGTAACAAACCTGCATGTTCCACACATATATCCCAGAACTTAAAGTATAATAAAAAATAAAATAAAATTGACCCTGTCATTCTGGTTGTCCACAGTGCAGATAATTAGAAATGGAGGCCCAATCTAGAACTGCTTCTTCCCTTTTCCTTTTAGAGCTTCTCTCACATGTTGGACTCAGGCTACAGATCAAGGAGTTTAGCATAGGAATCACAATGCCATAGAACGCAGGCAACACTTTCCCCTGCTTTTGAGACCCATTGGTCCCATGTGTAGATACATGTAAGGGGAGTCCCATAGAAAACAGTGACCGCTTTCTGGTGGGAGGCTCACATGGAGAAGCCTTGTGTCCTTCCTGCAGTGTAAGACGTTTTCAGGATGGCAGCCAGGATATATACCTAGGAAAATATGACCACCATCACAGTGGTGTTCAGGAGCTTTCAGCCCTCATGTCCCCACAGAAACAATGATTGACAACCACCCACAGAGGAGAATACATTTGTGGAGCCTGGGAGGCCAGTAGAGAGGTCCAAGTATCCCGCTGAAGAAAAAAACCTATAATAGACACTGTGAAGAGGATAAGAAAAGCAGCTTCATTTTACCTGAATCAACCTCCTTCAAGGCAGCACAGCTTAATGTCAAAGAGACCTGCACCTCCAGTGATTTCTCCCAAAGGGGAAAGTGAGAGTTTCCCCAGCCTAACGGGTTCTTTTCTTTCTTGCCCCACCCAGAATACTGAATGAATGATTCAATAGTCCTTGGACAATTCAGAGCAGGGAAAGGGGCAGGGACTCACAGCAACATGGGTGCAGTACATAAAGTGTTATTGTTTCTACTGGCTGCCCTCAGAATCCACCCAGAGGCTGCTCGTGAACTTCCCAGGACATACTGCCTATGGACGCCACTACAAGACCATGGTTGTCTGGAGGATTTTGCCTGCCCTCTCTCCATAGATGTGCCAATAAGAGCCTCTGCAGCTCATATACCACAAACACACAGAGATAGCCAACTAGACTCTTCTGGATTGGGAGAAAATACTTTAAACACTTCACGTCACTGCCCTAGGAAAAATAAATGAGAGAGTCACAGTACCCAGCCTGGCATTAAGGCTTGAGAAAAAGTATACAATCCTAACACTTCCTTGTCAAGAGGGAACAAAAGGAGTGGAATTGGTGTATTTGTAGGAAAAGTCTGCGATTCCACATGCAAGTGAGATCATTCAGTATTTGTCTTTCTGCATCTGGCTGATTTCACGTAGCACAACGTTCTCCAGATTCCTCCATGCTGTTGCAAATGACAGGATTTTCTTATTTTTAATGGCTAAATAATATTCCAGTGTGTGTGTGTGTGTGTGTGTGTGTGTGATGTTTTTCTTATCTGTTTATCTGCTGACTGACATTTGTTTATGTATGTTGACTATTGTGAATAGTGCTGCAATGAACATTACAGATGAGAGTGCCGAGATGTATTCAACATACTGATTTAATTTCCTTTGGATATACATCAAGAAGTGGAAATGCTGGATGGCATGGTAGTCCTATTTTTAACTTTTTGAGGAAGCTCTGTACCATTTTTACAATGGCTGTACCGGTTTATATTCCCATCAACTGTGTACAAGGATCTTTTTCACACAAAACTTCAACACATCTTTTTCTTTTTGTTAGTAGCTATTTTAACAGGTGTGAGGTGATAGCTCATTGTGATCAGTCAAGAAATTTCACACAGCTCCCTTATATTTACAAACTGACGAGTAATCAATCAGTCTACTCACAGCATGGGATTATTAGAATCAAACATTTTGAAAGTCTGTCCTTGCAGGACTAATAGAAAACTATGTTCTAACCTTTCCATGAGGACTCTATTCTTTAACTCCTATTACCATGTAATGGCAGTTATATTTTGTAGTTCCTACATTAAAGAAGTCCTGAGACGGTATCCCCGAAAGAGTGAGCTTAAAACACAAGAATGCCATATTAAATTTTTTGTTGACATTTGTTTTAGTGAAGACTATGAAAATGCTGGCTAGAGATGTCTTTTCTCATTTATCTAAATATGGACTGCTCAGGCAATGAGACTTTCCATAAAAAGTATTTTTAATTAATTGGGCCAGCTTTAAAAAAGAAGATGCCACATTCAAAATAGGGTATATTTTCCTAGATTATGGTTTGTCTCTTTATAAATCCAGGTATATAGGAGGAAAGAAAACACTTAAACTTTGCATCTCAGGATGATTATTCAATTTATTTGAATGATTTTTCTTTAAAAAAGCCAAACTCATTCATTAGTCATGTTTATCTGCTTACCAGTTTAGGGAACAATTTGACAATTTTGTAATTTATGAGATTATCGTTTTCTTTAAGTGCCAATATTTTAAAATAGTGTTTTTGTAATTTTACAGGCTTTTGTGATGGAGTGCTATTTTGTTATATAATTGACTTGGATTCTTTCCATTTGCATTTGTTTGTCTAACACTGGGGCCGTAGGCACCCACTCCTAGACACTACAGTGGGGCTAGAGCCCAAAGCGCTTGCCTCAGCTCCTGCACCTGACCATCTTTGTGCTCCTTCTTCCATCAGGGGTTTGAGCAGTAGTAGAGAGAGAAAAGGTGAGCCACACCCCCTGTTGTCAGGAGATTAGATCACTCTCCCGTTTCAATAGCACCCAACAGTCAGTTTTTTCAACGCTTGCCCCAGTTGTTCCCTTCCCCCTAGTATTTCCCAGTGTCTGTTGTTCCCCATCTTTGTGTCTATGTGTACTCAATATTTAGCTTGCACTTATACATGAGAACATGAGGTATTTGCTTTTCTCTTCTTGTGTTCTTGTGTTAATTCACTTAGGATAATGGCTTTTAGCTTTATCCATGCAGCTGCAAAGGACTTGAGTTTGTTCATTTTTATGGCTATGTGCTATTCCATGATGTATATGTAACACATTTTCTTTATCCAGTCCACCACTGATGGGCACCTAGGTTGATTCTATGTTGTTGCTATTGTGAATGGTGCTGTGATGAACATACAAGCACATGTGTCTTTTTCATAGAAAAATTTATTTTCTTTTAGATATTATCTGGTAATAGGATTACTTGGTCAAATGATAATTTTTAAAAAATTCTTTCAGAAATCTCCAGACTGCTTTTTACAGTGACTGAACTAATTTACATTCCCAACAGTGTATAAGCTTTCCCCTTTCTCCACAGCCTGGCCAGCATCTGTTGTTTTTTGACTTGGTAATAGTAGCTATTCTTACTGGTATGAGGTGGTTGTCACATTGTGATTTTGATTTGTATTTTTCTGATGATTAGTCTTGTTGACTATCTTTTCATATGTTTGTGGGCTTCTTGTATGTTTTCTTGTCAAAAGTATCTGGTCATATCCTTTGCCCACTTTTTAATGGGGTTACTTGTTTTTTGCCTGTTGAGTAGTTTAAGTTTTTCATACATTCTGTTAATTAGATTTATTGGATTCATAGTTTCTAAAAATCTTCTCCCATTCTGTAGGTTGCTTGTATACTCTGTTGATAGTCTCTTTAGCGATACAGAAGCACTTTAATTTAATTAGGTCCAAGTCGACAAATTTTTGTTGCAATAGCTTTTGAGGACTTAGTCATAAGTTATTTCCCAAGGCTGATGTTCAGAATGATGTTTCCCAGGTTTTCTTCTAGGATGCTTATAGTCTGAGGTCTTACATTTAAACCTTTAATCAATGTTGAGTTAACTTTTGTATATGGTAAAACATAGGTGTCCAGTTTTATTTATTTATTTTTTTGGTTTATTGCTACCACGATTTATTGAACAGGAAGTTCTTTCTCCATTGCTTACTTTTGTTGATTTTGTTAAAGGTCAGATATCTGTGGGGTGTGTGTGTGTGTGTGTGTGTGTGCACGTGTGTGTGTGCGCGCGCATGTGTGTGTGTGTGCGTGTGTGCGCGCATGTGTGTGTGTGTGCGCACGCATGTGTGTGTGTGTGAGAGAGACTTTCTAGGTTCTATATTCCATTGCACCTATGTTACTCTTTTTATACTAGTACCTTGCTGTTTTGGCTACTGTAGCCCTATGGTATGTTCTGGCATCAGATAATGTGGTGGCTTGGTTCTTTTTGCTAAGGATTGCTTTGGCTATTTGGGATTTTTTTTTCCAGTTTCATATGATTTTTAGAATAGTTTTTCTAATTCTGTGAAAGATTGCATCAGTGGTTGATAGGAAGAGCATTGCATCTGTAGACTGCTTGGGGTAATATGGCCATTTTAATGATATTGATTATTCTCATCCATGGATTGTTTTTTCATTTGTTTATGTTCTCTCTGATTTCTTTGAGCAGTGTTTTGTAATTATCTCCCGTAGAGATATTTCACTTCCTTGGTTAGATGTATTCTTAGATATTTTATTATATTTTGGTAGCTATTATTAATTCAATTGCATTATTGATTTGGCTCTCAGCTTAACATTATTGATGTATAGGAGTGCTACTAATTTTTGTACATTGATTCTGTAAAATAAAATTTTAGTGAAGTAGTTTATTAGCTCCAGGAGCCTTTTGGCAGAGTCTTTAGAGTTTTCTAGATATAGAATTATATGATCCACAAAGAGAGATAGTTTAACTTCTTTTCCAATTTGGGTACATTTTGTTTCTTTTCTCTTGCCTGATTGCTCTGCTTAGAACTTCTAGAACTATGTTGAAGAGGAGTGGTGAGAGTGGGCTTCCTTATCTTGTTCCAGTTTTCAAGGGGGAATGCTTCCAGATTTTGCCCATTAATTATGAGGTTGGCTGTGGATTTGTCATAGATTGCATTTATTTTGAGGTGCATTGCTTTGATGCTTAATTTTGTAGAGAATTTTTATTATGAAGGTATGTTGCATTTTATTGAAGGCTTTTTCTGCATCTATTGAGATCATATGGTTTTTGTTTTGAATGCTGTTTATGTGGTGAATGACATTTAGTGATTTGCATATATTTAACGAACCTTGCATCCAAAGGTTAGCTTTTGATGTGCTATTGAATTTGGTTTGCTGGCATTTCATGGATGGTTTTGCATCTATGTTCATCAGGAATATTAGCCTGCAGTGTTCCTTTTTCATTGTGTCTTGGCCAGGTTTTGGTATCAGAGACCTGATGCTGGTTTCATAGAATGAGTTGCAAAGGAGTCCCTCCTGCTCAATTTTTTTGTAGTAGAATTGGCACCTGCTCTTCTTTTTACATCTGGTAGAGTTTGATTACAAATTCATCTGGTCTGGGCTTTGCTTTTGGTTGGTAGGTATTTAGTACTGTTTTCACTTCAGAACTTGGTATTGGTCTGCTCAGGGTATCAATTTCTTCCTTATTAAATCTTGGGAATTTGTGTGTTTTCAGGATTTTATCCAATTCCTCTCTATTTTCTAGTTTGTTTTCATGGAAGTGTTCATAAGATTCTCCGAGTATCTTTTGTATTTCGATGGGATTGGTTGTAATGTCACCTTTGTCCTTTTTGGTTGTGCTTATTTGGATCTTTCTTTTTTCTTTGTGAATCTAGTTAGCAGCCTACCAATCTTACTTATCCTTTCAATAAACCAAATTTTGATTTCATTCATTCACTGAATAAATTTTTGGGTCTCAATTTTGTTCAGTTCTGTTCTGATTTTAGTTATGTCTTTCTTCTGCTAGTTTTGTGGTTGATTTGCTCTTGTTTTTCTAATTCCTCTAGAAGTGATGTTAGACTATTAATTTGACATCTTTCTACATGTTTCCTGTTGTAGAAACATCAAATTTTGGCAGAACAACTGTGCTGGATGATTTGTTGAGCTGAATGTTAACAGCTGGGGCTAATTTAAAAGAACTTTTTTCCTATCACTCTTAAAGCTTCTTTTACTTCCTTATTTCTCAAGCTATAGATTAAAGGATTCAACATGGGAATAATGGTGCCATAGAATATAGATGCCACTTTCATATTTTCCTGGGAATTATTAGAATGAGACTGTAAGTACATGTAAGAGAGTGTCCCATAGAAAATGGTAACTGCTGTCAGGTGGGATGCACATGTGTAGAAAGATTTTTTCCTCCCTGCAGTAGAAGACATCTTCAGGATGGTGGCCGTGATGTAGGTGTAGGAAAAGATGATGACCAACCCAGTGAACATCAAGTTAAATCCCACAAAGACAACAAGTAGCATGTTGTTGATGTCAATATTGGAGCATGAAAGAGCAAGAATTGGGGGAACATCACAGAAAAAGTGGCTGATGTTATTGGATGTGCAGAAGGACAGTGAAAATGTAAAACCTGTTTGCACAGAGGCATTAATCGAGCCCATGATGTATGAACCAGCTACTAATTGGATGCAGACTGTTCGGGACATGATTACAGAATAGTGAAGGGGCTTACAGATGGCAACATAACGGTCCACTGCCATCATAGCTAGGAGATAACAGTCACTGGTTGCAAAGGTTGCATAAACCAATAATTGTACCACACAGCCCTGAAATGATATCAAATTATTTTCTTCTGTGAAGCTTTGGAGCATCTTGGGAGTGATAGCAGAAGTGTAACAGATATCAACAAAAGCCAAATGTTGTAGAAAAAAGTACATGGGTGTTTGAAATCTGGAATCTGTGTTGATGAGTAAGATCATTCCAGTATTACCCACTATGGAGGTCACATAGATGAGAAGGAATACAATAAAGAAGATACACCAAAACTCATGCTGGGCACCAAATCCCAGAAGATAGAATTCAGTTACTTCAGTGCTGTTTCCTGGTGTCATGGCTACCAAAAGTCTAGAAAGGACCAAAAGAAGGACCCAGAAAAGAAGGCAAATCTTTGTGACTTCTTGCAATCAAATGGCTCTGTATTTCAAGTCACTTTTTTCTAATTGGATTTTTATGACAAAGCTAACAGTAGTGTTATTTCCTAAATTAAAAATTTCTTTACAATCATCAAGGGTGATTTACTTGATGAAAGATGAAATGAATTCATCTTCAAAATAAAAAAGGTTATCTTAAAAGAAGACTGACTTTTAATGTGTTAAAAACATAGATAATTTTTCACTATATTAAACAGGCTATTAAATATATTAATATATTAAACACTTTATTAATCCATACATAAAGTAATATTAAAATGTAATTATGTGCCCCTTCATAATTTTTCACAGCCACTTACCATTTTAATTTTGGATAAATCTCTTGAAATTAGCATAAATTAGAGAGAAGTTTATTTAAATATGGTCATATTTTACATATGTTTGAAGGGTTTAAAGTATCTTTGTACTAGTATCCTTAGAATACAGCTCCCATCTAGGTGTTATTCTATACAAGCAAAATAACTCTGAGAAATACCCTTACATTTTCTATTGCTTTTTTTTTCTGTTCTGTAGTGGAGGAACGAGAAAGCAGAAAAAATTCTCTTCAATCTACCTTTTAGTGAATACTGAGGTATATCAAGTTAGTGTAAGTTACTTCGTAGGGTAAATTTACTGTAAAATAAATGTGGTCCTTTCAAAAAGTGTTCCTTTCATTTGGATAAACACTCCCTAGAGGAAGCTTGAATAGGCCAGAGGTCTACTTAAGCTACAATTTCAACAGACAAATGACATTTATCATATCAACTTGACTTTAATCATCTGGATTGAAATAAAATAATATGAAAATATGGGGACACTTTTCAAAAGCTAAGGAAACTAGTGTAAATCCCCATTCCGATCTCGCACAGAATTTGTACATTTCTGTGTTTATGTCGAGCTAATCATTGGCTGGTTCAATATGAAATATTTGTTTTATCTATGTTGAAGGTGTTTTCTAATCAAATGAATGCTACAAAGAAAATGGCCAACTATCTAAGCATTTTTTTTTTTTAACATTCATGTTTGGCAGTACATGTGAAGGTTTGTTACATAGGTAAGCTCATGCCATGTGGGTTTACCCTAGCATTTTAAACATGCTTAACATATGGGCAGTGCTGAGTTTCTCAGGCTTCATTTATAGTCAACATTGTGAGTGAAAAGGAAATAGGAAACCCTGGTTTTGAATATTTGTCTCACCAGTTAATAGAAAAAAGCATATACCTCCCTTTGGCCCTAGTTACTTCCTCTGTACAATGGGGATTATAGAATTCATCTAGAAGTTAATATGTTCATTCACTTGTTTATAGTATCAGTAACATGCATATTATAGATAATATAATGTTATGTAACTTGGATTGCAAATAAGTTAACCAAAACCTTCTAGTAGCAAAATCAGGAAATGGAATTGTATAAATTTCAGTAGATTCATATTATTTATTAATACTTAGTCTAAGACAGTGAGATAATTATGTACTCTTATGGAGTCCAAAGAGAAAAGCATGTTGTAGAAAAATATGTAGATTGTGGACCCTTTGAAAAACTAAACTTTGTCACTCCTACTGTCTCTTGCTTTCATTGTCTTTATTTATTTGTGATTAAATGCCAGAAAGTGTGCACACCAAATTCAAGTATAGTTATTCATGGGTGTGGCAGTAGGTGAAAAATAACATTTTTTTAAACTTGACAACTTCTAAACTTTCACTTTTATAATGGGAATTCATGACCCTTATTGTTTTAAAAATGAAGAAAACGATTTTGTATGTGGTCATTGATGCCCTAAAGTTGTGTGCCATTTCACTATTTTCTTTCTTTCTTTTTTTTTTTTGAGATACAGTCTCACACCGTTGCCCATGCTGGATGCAGTGGTGCAATCTCAGCTCACTGCAACCTCTGCCTCCCAGGTTCAAGTGATCCTCCTGTCTCAGCTTATGAGGCAGCCACTATGCCCAGCTACTTTTTCTATTTTTAGTAGAGACGGGATTTCACCCTGTTGGCCAGGCTGATCTCACTGGATCTCACAAACTCCTGACCTCACCTGATCCATCCGCCTTGGCCTCCCAAAGTATAGGGAATACAGGCATGAGCCAACACACCCGGCCTCTTTCTACTTTCTTAACTTTCTGATGTTTCATGTTTCTTTCATTCAATAACAACTAAAAGGCAGAATATGGGAGAGTAGATAGAAAAATGAAACAATTATATTCTGTGTACAAGAAACTCACTTCAGATATAATGATACATGTAGGTTTAAAATAAAAAGAAGAAAACATGTATCATGCAAACATTAATCAAAAGAATGAATGGCTATAGAAGTATTAGATAAAGTATATTTCTCAGCAAAGAAAATTACCAAGGAGAAAGAAGAACATTACATAATAATAAAAGTGCTAATCTATCAAGAAGAAATAGCAATCCTAGATGTGTAGACACTAAACAAGTAAACTACAACTTATATAAAAAACTGAAAAATTGAATTGAGCTACAGGTCAATCTATGATTATAGCTGGGGATTTTAATATTCCTTTCTCAGCAATTTATAAGACTAGATATAAAATCAACAAGAATATAGAGGAACTCAACACCATCAGCCAACAGGACATCAGTGACAGTTATATAACATCCCACCTTACATGAATAGAATACATATTTTTCTCCAGCACTTGTAGAATGTATATTAAGAGAGATTGTATACAATCTATATAATTTTAGAAGAATGGAATTCACGGAGAATAATATGTTCCTGACCACAGTGAAATTGAATAAGATATAAACAACCAAAATGTAACAGGAAACTCTCCAGATAATTGGGAAAAATACATTTATAAACAATCTTTGGATCAAAGAGGCAGTCACAAGGGAAATACAAAACACTGGACTGAATAAAAATACAATACTTGAAATTTGTGGGGTACAGCTAAAGCAGAGTTTAGTGAGTATCCTGTAGTACTAAATGCTTACATTAAAAAGAGAAAAAGCCTCAAATCATTAATATAATCTTCTACTTTAAAAATGTCAAAAATGAACAAACTAAATCCAAAATATGTAGAAAAAAGAGTATAACAAATATAAGAGCAGAATTCAATGAATTGGAAACAGAAAAACAATATAAAATACTGTAAAACAAGAAGTGGGTTTTGAAGAAAATCAGTAAAACTGACAAACTTCTAGAAGGGCTGGCAAAGATAAAAGGGAGAAGATACAAATTACTAAGTCAGGAAAAACAGGGATATCACTACAGACCCTGTAGACAGAAAAAACACGATAATAAGAGAATGCTACAAACATCTCTACAGATATTAATTTGACCAATGAAATGAATCTATTAATTAAGAAGTATAAACTAACCCCTGTGAAACTTATATTTGAATAGCCCTACATCCATGAAGAGAATTAAATTTATAATGTAAAAACTTCCTTTTAAAGTATCACTGGAAAATTCACTAAATGTATAAGAAATAATTAACTTCAATTCTATACAATTTCTTTCAGAAAACAGATGTGAAAACATTTTCTAGCTTATTCTGTTACTCTGCTAGCAAAAGCTGAAAAAATAGCACACAAAGAAGAAAACCATACTTCAATATCTTTAATGAATATAAATGCAAAAATATTTTTAAAAATTTAGCAAATAGATTTCAGCTATATGTATAAAATTATACACAATGACCAAATTGGGTATAGTACAGGTCTAAAAGAGAAAAATCATACGATCATATAAATTGATGAACAAAAATAATTTGACAAAATTCAACATCTACTTATTACCTTAAAAAATCTCTGAAAACTAGGAAAAGAGGACAATTTCTGCAACTGATGAAGAATGTCTACAGGAAAACCTATAGCTAACATCCTACTTAATAGTTACAGACTAAATGCTTACCCCTAAAATTGGGAACAAGCAAGGATACTCATTCTCTTGAGTGTCATTCAACATTGTTTGGGAAATTCTAGTCAGAGGAAAGGATATATATGCATAAAAATGATACAGGTCATAAAAGAAGAAATAAAACTGTCATTTGTAGATGACATGAGAGTTTAGGTAGAAGATTCCAAGAATCTACCAAAAACTTCTAGAAGTGATAAGCGAGTTCACAAAAGTTGAGGAATACAAGACAGTTCTAAAAAATCCATACTATTTTTATAATAACAATAAATTTGTGGAAGCTGGAATAAACACACAACAGCAGTAATAATAGTTCAAAAAATGAAATACTTAAGTGTAAATGTAACAAAACCAACATAGGACTTGATGATGAAAATTACAATATGCTGATAAAAGAAATCAAAGAAGATCCACATACATAGATATATTGTGTTTAGGAAATACAAGACTCCATGTAGTGGTGTCAGTTCTCCCCAAATTATGTACAAGTTTAATACATCTGAAATCAAAATCTCAGCATAGTATTTTTAGTATGTGACCAAGAATATTCTAAATTTGTAGGGAGGAGCAAAGAAGTCAGAATAGCCAAAACAATTCTGAAAACAAAGAAAAAATGAGATGAATCACTTTGCCTAACATTGATTTTTAAAAATATATATCTACAATAATTAACACTGGGGTATTAGTGGAAAGATAGATGCAAAGATGGAGTAAAATAGTGAATCCACAAATAGATCCACACAAGTGCAGCTTGTGATTTTTGAGCAGCTTCAATTCAATGGAGGAAGGCTTTTTAGTAAATAGTGCTGAGACAATTGGATATTCATAGGCAAAAAAATGAACCCAAACCTAAACCTCATACCTTATATAAAAATTAGCTCAACATGAATCTTAGCTTTAAATGCAAAATATAAAACCATAAAACCTTTAGAGAGTAATCTAAGACAAACTATTCAGGGCAAAATTTTTAGGAGAGGTGTTGCGAAGAGTTCTTAGACATGACATCAAAAGTATACCGCCCCTCAAAAAATTCAGTAATTGGACCTCATTAAAATTAAACTTTTGCTCTGTTAAA